TTAAGCACAAGCTCAGATTGAATGATGAAAAGACTGAGCTGCTCCCTATTGCCACATCTCAGAAGAAAGAAAACTCTAAATAACACATCACTTAGTCTCTGAGGTGAGGATTGAGTTTGCTCAAACAGTGCATAACCTGGGTGTCAACCTATGATGAACACTAAATTTTTAAAATCACATTAATATGTTTTGAAGAGGATTTTTTAGAGCTGCGCAGGATTTGTCATATCAGTCCTTTCTTAACGTTTGACGCATCAAAGAGACTTTTGTCTGCATTCGAGGTATGACGAATGGTTTACTGCAATGCTGTAAGGGTGGATCTTCTAGCTAAGCTCCTGGATAAAATTCAAACAGAACACAGTAAAGCGGCTTGCATTGTTCTTCGCAAACGCAAATTTGACCATGCTAAAACACTCCTAATAGATCTGCACTTGCTGCTTGTCCGAGCTCGCATAGAATACAAAATGGTAGCTTTATGATACCGCAGCTTACATGACCTGACGCCGTCCTATCTCAAAGCACTTATGACGCCTTTTTTTTTTTAATGTTCCTTATTTCATAAATGTATTTTATTTTAATGTCATGATTATGTCTCTTTTGATAACATTTTTATGCACAGCGCAGTGAGCCCAGCCCTAGGCTGGGGTACCGCGCTATATAAGACCCCTTATTATTATTATTATTATGTAACCAAACGTCAGCTCCGCTCCTCTGATAAAGGCAAAATACCGATAAAACGTGTTAGCCTTGGGACTTACGGAAACCGTAATTTGTCATTTGCTGGCCAAACAATTTGGAAAGCTCTTCCTGTCGCTCTCAGCAACACCCAAACACTAGAGTCCTTTAAAACCGATTTAAATACACATCTATTTCGCAAACACCTTATGGGGTGATGCTGTCTACAATTTGTTCCATAGTTAATGTATATTTGCTTGTGTTGTTTATGGTCAAAGCAGATGAAAGACTTTGACTTGGTATGCTCGTATGTAGTTTAAGTATTGTTGCATTTTTTTTTGTTAAATGTGGTAAAAATTTCTCTTTTTAATATGTTTGACTTAGTAGAGCACTTCGAGCTTTTGGGGATGAAGCGTGTTTTTCAAATAAACTGTATTATGTTTACGAGACTGGGGAAATACTACCTTGTTCAATATCACGGAGATGTTCAATTAACCTATCAGCCAATCTTCTCCAACATACCTATGTAACCTAATTGGCATCTACGGCACACAAACGCACACATATTACATTACGGCTGACGCAGGCGAAAACCCCTTTAATGGTAAAGGTACCTTTTGAGAGGTAGGTGTTTCAGTTTTGAGTGCAACGAGACAAGTCCTAAAGCTGCTTCTTATACATGGTTTAATGCCAAAGTAATACGGTTCAGATTGAAGGCGACTACGAACCAGAAGGTCACCTAGATTTTTGTCCCGTATAAAGACAATCAGTTGAGGAGATGAGAAAACCCTGTCTGTATCGGGGTCAGCAAGAAGTATGCTACTATTTTTTAGGAACATTTTTTTTGCAATTTAATTGTGTGTGTTGTAGGTTAGTATAAGTTTGGTACGATCTTCATTGTTTTTGACTAGTTTTGAAAGCCTTTTTCCGTGTGATAGTGCTGATGTGACCTAGTTGTTGAGCTAGAGAAGTTTCAGGACACGATCTGCAGCGGGAGAAATCCATCATTTCATCAGCTCTTTCCAAATATTCTTCATAAAGTTGGCTGAGACGCCGTAGTTTAATAGCAAACATCCATAGGAGGCTAACTTGTTTTCGAACAAACCGTACGATTGACACAAACGTTATTAATGATATCACGAGGAAAGAACTATAGAACGTGGCTAAATCAGGGATAAACTTTTTTGCACATTTTAACTCGCCTTCTTCATTGACTTTCCCTCGAAATCTGCAACAAATTCAGCCATGAATGTGGATGACTTGGTATTTTGTGACTTCAGTAAGGATGCCAGCGGAGTTACGACATCGTCATTTTTTAACTATCATTAGGTACATGCAACGGTGGAAAGTGGACATAAAAACCAAGAACACATTCTTTGTTTTCTCTTTTTTTTTTTACATATGGCTATACATTCTTAGACACGCCAATGAGATTAAAAGGAACAACATAGCGCTAAATTGGGACAAGCAACACGTTTACCTAGGAGTTAAACTTCATTAATAGGTAGAAGTGCATAATTGCGTACATGACTTAATATATCAGGTGACCGCCAAGACCAACCTGTTGAACAATTTAGCATGCACGCTCTGGGCGCTAGGTTAGGTACGATTGGAACTTTACGTGTAAGGTCATTGGTGGATTAAAGCAAGCCCGTCAAGACCATTGCGAGCTAAACTGCATTGGAAAACCTGCATTTGAAACCGCAATCCAAGCTGTTGCGAAAAAAAAACATGAACAGTGTAGAACAACTAGACACCAGAAGGTAAATCGCAATAGTAACCAACGTAGAACGGTTTTATAGCGATGAGTTTAATATCGTACTTTACGATATGTCTCTTGACAAGCAGCACATGACAGTCGAAGATAGCATTCATTAAATTCTCTACTAAAGAGCGATGTCCGAAATTTTATTATTGCAAATGTTAATTTATTGAGTTGATTGGAAGATTACAACATCGAATAGAATACAACACAAGTTATTCACTTACAGTAGAGCCATGAGCTAACACGTACAAAGTCTGAGAGGTGCACACACATTAATCATAATATCTACGATCAGCAGAGTAAAGCAGTCTATTAGTGTCGCTTTGACTCGTATCGTAATGACAAACAATGTTTCTCTTTTCATCTCGCAATCTCTCTCGCTCTCTTTCTTTCGGCTTATTTATAGTTTTTCATATGACATTTACATAAATTGTTTAGGCACTCTATGTGTACCTCAGCCTGCCTCGTAAATTCTAAATAATTCTACTATAGTCTGTTTACATGTAGTCGGTATCAAGGGAGACAATTTGTAATTAAATTGCACCCATCTTCGCCAAACTTAGAATCACCAACAGATGCAATAAAAACAAAAATAAACAAATCAAACTCCTTCAGTAACAACATGCGGAATAACTGCGTTGCGAGGAGTAAACTTAAAAGATCACCCCATAGTTTCCAAGTTACAGAATTTGAAAGGGAAGTCTAATTCCCCAGAAAGACAGAATTTCTGAACTTTAACCCAATCAATGCACAAGATATTAAATCTACACGTCACATCGTATGTTTTGCTATAAACAACACAGCAGTGATAAAACGCATCCCAGCAAATGTCCAGAAATCGACTTCTATTGGGGCCACAGAAGGGTTTGTGGAAACTCAAATTAAAATTTTTACTGACCTATCGCCTAAAATGAGAAAAAAAAAGGAACGATGTTCTTATTTTATAGCTGGAGGGCCACCTAAACAGGAACTTTAGTGTCCATTAGGACTGCAGCATTGAATTTCGACGCGGAGCTAGAAGCTATTCACAGGGCAATGCAAAATTAGACACTGGAGGCTACAGAGGTGGGAGCTTATGGAGCTCTATTTTGTAATTTTCTTCGATTCAAATGTGATGATGAGAATTGAGTAAGGAAGCACTTACCACCCACTTAGTTGGCACCATATTGGAATACGTGGACAAACTTGAAATGATAGGAGGCAAGGTAACAGTGCAGTGGATACGGGGCCATGCAAACTTTAGAGGCAAGAAAATAGCAGACACTCTGGCAAAAGCTTGTGTGCCTAGGCTCAAACTGAAGCTTTATTCCCTTTTATCAGAGCTAGAAATTGGCCTGGAGACCATTTTCGAAAAAAATGTTACGAGCATTCAACAGACAGCCCAAAAGAGAACATTTGTATTATTTTACATGCCGCTTCCTAGCAGAAACAATCCCTTGTAGAAATTGGTTTGAGAAACAACAGAGCCTTTGTAAACTAAATGAGTATCCCATACTCCCCTACTAACGCACATATTTACGGTTTTGATAAAAACAGAAACCCGACCTGCCTTCATTGCATCCTTTTCCTAGAAACCCTAACGCCTCGGGAGACTGAATGCCCAGCACTAGAGGTTTCGGGGTAGGCCAGAGCGAAGGTGGCGACTATTGTCTTGACAATGCTATCTAGCACAGCCCCATAGACGGAGCTAGTTGCCAGTGTACTAGCTGGGGCAAAACTCAACCAGGATATGTGATAGTTAGTGGTCAAGCAGACCAATATACTTGGTTGCCAGGCTGACCAGATTTCTTTGAATCACATATATTTAAATTTGTACTACCGAAAATAAATTTAGTGCATACAATTTTAAACAATTCATGGGGACCTCAATTTATATTAGTTCTTGCTATCTTGTGTTCACTTTCAATACAGTCCCATTTAACTTATATGATTGAAATCACTCCACTCCATAACCAACATTTTATAATAGTCTTACTGAAACCTAATTCTAAAAATCCTAATGACCCCTTTTTATGTGTTCACCTGTCCCAATTTATATGAGCAAAATTAACAATATTTATCTTAGTAATATTTTTTCATTTTATATTACATATTCTGACCTTTATTTACACCGGTAATACTCTACTCACCTCCGTTGATATATAACGAGCAAACCGATCCGTTCCCTTGCCAAGTTACTTCAACGTATGTTGCGACAATTTCATTACTGCAGAATATGTCGAATTCGTTTGTGTGTTGAGACACTACGCGTAAATCATCACATACTTCAGGGTCTTGAAATGATATCGAGAAATTGAAAACTTGGGATGGAAAGTGAAATATATATTATATTGGTAAATAATTTGTTAAATAAATTTAAAATTAATTTAAAATTAATTCAAAAGTCTTGTTTTTTCGTTTTTTGACTTGAAACATCCAATTAATTACTTGATTATTTTACAAGAAATTGAAATTACTTTTGAACATTTAAAAAAAAAAAACAACATAAATTATATTTAATTTTAACGTTAACTAAAATTTCACACATTCTGAAAATTAATTTATCACAAAGAATATTATGTCACATACCGTAGCCCCTGAATATGACACGGACCCAAGAATAGACAAACGGTTCTGTCAGGTTAGCACCGATAGAGTTCTTTGGAGGAATGTAACATGTGCTGTCATTGTTGTCGGTCAACCGTGGGTCACTGGGTTGACTTGCATAAGCCAGGTCATCTAATGAAATACATATCAACAATAGTTTAACTTGATGTTATAATGTAACGTTTTACGCAATTTCATCCTAAGTGATAAGAAGTCCAGCTAAACAAAATATCACTAGCACCAACGTTTAATAGTTTTTTTGAAATAATAGGTCTTAGCTTTCTTTAATGATTTGTATTTAATAGAAATCATTTAGATTCTAAGAAAAAAAAAGATACAACAGTAAAAGTGAAAAGAATTCAAACATCATCATGATAATGACAGATTTGGATATATACAGTCTGAAATGAATTAATATACACATTTTAATTGTACTTTTGAGAATTAATTTATAATCGGTTGAAATCTATTAGCAAGAAATATATCAACAATATATTGACAAACCAGGTGTCCATAACTTAAATATAATGCATGCCATGTATCAAACGCTAAATGTACTGACATATAGGTATCAGTAAATTCATGTACTAACATGCAAGGTATCAACAAGAAGAGATCTTAAAATCAAAGTCTTATACTTAATGCACTGAAAAGTAACGGTATTAACTTACTCTACTTACTTCTCAAGTATCAACGACTTACTGTACTGTTATGACAGGTAACTTAAGGTACTATACTGACATTACTCGTAACACAAACTTACTGTACTGACATGACAGAGCGAACCAACCATCTTTACATGAGGTCCCTTGTGTACATTCCCCATCTCTACGACAAAGATTCTTCTTGCAATGACATACAAACTGACATTTTTTGCCAAAAAATCCAAGCGGACATTGGAAAGCTGATTAAGAAAGTACAAAATAAAAGAAATATGTTGAAGTATAAGACACTGATCATACATTTGTTGTAAGAATTAAAGTTTGTTTGTTTTCTTTTATTTGAACTGTGTTATAAAAGCAATATTAACACAAAAATAAATGCACATTTTTTTAATGAAATTCTATTTTCAAAAGATGTTTTTAATTATATCTAAAATCTATGCTTCTATAAATTGAGAATAAAATATTAAAATGAGGTATGTGGAAGATTGACTTAGAGAACTGGACAAAAAGATAACGACGTTTCGGCATAAAGCCTTCTTCAGCAAACTGTAAAAATGAAATTATCACAAAGAACAGAGCACAGTAAACAACGCAAGAACGTTAATTCATTTGCTAGATTGAAATGCAGTTATTTAAATTATAAATTCAGAAAAGAATTAGATTCCGTTAATATACATTTTTTCAGTGTAAATCTCTTAAATATATACCGGTAGATATAAGATGATATTTGAGGACTCTTTATAGGAATGTCAAGAATATATATATATATATATTTTTTTTTTTACTAGGGGCGTGGCGTTTACAATTAATGGTTTCTTAGTGTGTGTTAGAGGAAACTGCAAAGGCGAATGAGCAGTGTGAATGGGTAAAAAGTAGTCGGTATATGTTATGGGTAGGGTTTTGTATGGGGATCGGGCAGTTGGCGTGTGTATCGGGACCTTGTAGGGAGAGTGGGTAAGGGGGGGGATCGTTTATGGCATTGATGGAAAGGATGCGTCTGCTGGGAGTAGGTAGTTGGCGTGTGTATCGGAACGATGTGGGGAAAGTGGGTAGGGGGGTCGTTTATGGGACTGATTGAAGGGATGCGTCCGCTGGGAGTAGGTAGTTGGCGTGTGTATCGGGACCATGTGGGGAAAGTGGGTAGGGGGGTCATTAATGGGACTGATTGAAGGGATGCGTCCGCTGGGAGTAGGTAGTTGGCGTGTGTATCGGGACCATGTGGGGAAAGTGGGTAGGGGGGTCATTAATGGGACTGATTGAAGGGATTCGTCCGCTGGGAGTAGGTAGTTGGCGTGTGTATCGGGACCTTCTAGGGAGAGTGGGTAGGGGATCGTTTATGGGATTGATTGAAGGGATGCGTCCGCTGGGAGTAGGTAATTGGTGTGTGTATCGGGACTATGTGGGGAAAGTGGGTAGGGGGATCATTTTATGGGATTGATTGAAGGGATGCGTCCGCTGGGAGCAGGTAGTTGGTGTGGGTTTTGTGTTGCTTGCAATGAATGGATTTGGCGTGGAGAGTATGGGGAGTTTTTTTTTTTTTTTTTCCCAACACCAATGGAACTTACAGCGACCACGTTTATAAAGTAGTAAAAAATTGACTTTTAAATATACTTTTAAATGTTATTGCCGTTTTACTCAATCAGTGCAGCGAAACAACGTAGCCAGAAAGGCGTGCAGTAATATCCTTATCACGAATCCAAATAAGAACAAAGCATTATGACATGCAAAAAATGTATTATTGCGTAAGTAAGGGGGTCACAAACAAGTTTATGATTGCTATTACTTGAAAAAAACAAAACTCTGTTGGGTGGGGGTGGAGAGTAATACGATACTTTCATTTGTCAGAGGCAGCTCCAGAGGCAGCACCAGAGACGGCACCAGAGGCAGCGCAAGAGGCGGCACCAGATGCGGCACCAGGGGCGGCACCAGAGCCAGCACCAGAGGCAGCACCAGAGTCGGCACCAGAGGCAGCACAAGAGGCAGCACCAGAGGCGGCACCAGACGCTGCACCAGATGCGGCACCAGGGGCCGCACCAGAGCCATCACCAGAGGCAGCACCAGAGGCGGCACCAGAGGCAGCACTAGAGGCAGCACCAGAGGCGGCACCAGACGCTGCACCAGATGTGGCACCAGAGGCAGCCCCAGTGGCTGCACCAGAGGCAGCACCAGAAGAGGCAGCGTGAGAGGCAGTACCAGAGGCGGCACCAGAAGCAGCACCAGAGGTGGCACCAGAGGCAGCACCAGAGGCAGCACCAGAGGCAGCACCAGAGGCAGCACCACATGAGCCTCAGAATGAATTTGAGGAACAATTAACCTTCTCAGCTGCATATATATCGGGATTAGGGAATATTTTGTGTAAATTTTTATGCGGATGACAATATCTTTCAAATCCAAGGCATCAACACATCTAATTACAACCAACATGCAAAAAATTCTGACGTCCCTTGGTACTGTACTGTCTGCGGCTGCCAGATATACCAGTCTGTGTTTGACCTCCATAGTGCAGGGAAAGATTCTACCTTCCCAGATTACTCTCTGGATCCTTCAATCTCCACACCAAAGGACATTTGAATTTTTCAGCCAACAGACTACTCTACTCTTATGCGCTGCAGTCAGCAAGATAAATTGAGACACAGGTCATGGCGCATATTGAATGTGAACTTTCAGTCTGCAATGGGAAGACAGTAGCGATAGCGAACCTAATCAACAGCCTGAAACATGACATCATCTTGGCCAAAGAAACATGGATGAATCGCTCCATAGACAATGCAGAGTTTGTACCGGATTTTATACAAATTTTGCGTCGAGACAGAAAAGACAGATAAGGAGGAGTGCTTGTTGCTGCCCATCACAACCGGGACTGCCACGCTGTTCCAGAGCTAGATGTTAACGAATGCGAGCTCCTGTGGGTGAAAGTGAAACTGAAGGGTAGACGCACACTTTACGTTTGTGCGTATTACAGACCCAAGACAGCAGATGAACCAAGCCAGAGGAGGTTCAAGGTATTGCTTAACAGCCCAGCACATTCGAAGAACACTTTTCTCTTTATAGGGGGGGGGGGGGGGGTGACGTTCCTAGTTGGAACTGGCAGATTCCTGCCCTTAACCCAAAGTCTCCATACCCTGTTATACAATCAGAATTCATGGAGATAATTAACAACCAAGGTCTTGAACAACTAGTTAATAAACACACGAGAGGGATAACACTCTTGACCTACTCCTCACCAACTGCCCACATCGTGTCCCAAAAGTTGAGGTCATACCCGGGATATCGAATGACCTGAGAGAGGAAGTACTGAGGCTCCGCCAAACCGTTCTACGTTTCTTGCGCAGGTAATATTCAAACAACATGAATGGCAGAGGAAGACACTCCAACAAAAGATGTCAAGAACAAGTGCTTCTGGAACTGTATGAAGCACCAAAAGTTCTCGAACGCTGATTGTTTCCCATCTTCTGACCGATAAATGATCCTGCTGTCTGCCGTCCATGGTTTGACTTGTAAAAGTCCTGGTGTTCATGCAGTTCTTTATTTCAAAATTGTATTTGATTTTAATGTCATGATTATGTCTCTTTTGATAATATTTTATGTACAGAACGGTGAGACCAGTCCTAGGCTGGGGTATCGCGTTATAAAAGACCACTAATTATTATTATTATTTCACTCCAATCTACAAGAAAGGGGCATATTCCGACTCTGCAAACTATCACCCCATATCCCTCACCGGTGTGGTTTGCAAACTGTTTGAGCAAATAACCGTAAGCACTGTCATGAAGCATCTTGAAAGCCAAATATACTCAATGACTATCAACATGACTCCCGAGACAAAAGATCATGTAAGAGCCAGCTCCTGGAAATTGTAGAAGACCTGATGACCAATCTGGAGAACCACATGCAGACTGACGTACTAGTGGATGACTTTGCAAAGGCATTTTACCGTAAAATCATAGTTTTCTTCTACACAAACTCCAGAGATATGGGATCCAAGGCACCACTAAAACATTGATCTCCAGCTTTGTCAGCCACCGATGCCAAACAGTAGTGGTTGACGGTACAAGCTCCTTCTTTTCGATGTGAAGTCAATGGTCCCCCAGGGATCAGTGCTAAGCCCCTGTTTGTTCCTAGCATACATCATGACCTAGCCGAGAAACTGACATCCCAAGCAAGACTCTTCGCAGATGACACAGCGGTGTATAGGATGATCGCCAACAGATCTGATCATGACCAGCTACAACAGGATCTTAATCTGTTAGCTGAGTGGGACATTAGATTTGACATGCAATTTCACCCTGCCAAGTGCAAGACACTATCAGTCTCTAGAAGTTGTACTCCTGTGCACTACCAATACGAACTGAAGGGACATACACTTGAGCCAGATTCCTCCGTTAAGTATCTGGGTGTTACCATTCAAAGAGAGGTCCGCTGGGACGATCATATTAACAATGTATGTAACCAAGCAAACAAGACCCTGGGGTTTTAAGGCGTAATCTAAAGATTGGCAACTCCTGTGTGAAAGAAAGAGCATATAAAGCCTTTGTTCGTCCGGTTTTAGATTATAGATCTTCATTCTGGGACACATTTACCCAGAAGAGCATTGACACGTTGGAGGCGGTCCAGCGACGATCAGCACGCTTTGTCCTGAACCGTTACCAAAAATACCTCTAGTGTTGGCAGCATGCTGGAAACGCTAGGCTGGTCAACATTGGAGGAACGATGACGATAATCCAGGCTCTCCATTATGTACAAGACAAATAATGGGCTAGTCAACTGTTCCATTATTAAAAAGAAACTCGTCCCTCTTCCCCATAGACAGCGACGAGGCCATGACAGGCAATTCAGGCTCTCACCATCAAGAAGCCAGTTTAGGAGCTGCTCATTCCTGTCCAAGACAATCAGGGACTGGAACAAACTTTCAAAAGGAACAGTTGAGGTGACAACACTAGACACATTTAATCCATTGCCTCAAGCCTTCAAACCCCAAGTTTATGATTCCTCACAATGTGGCACTTGCAATAAATGAAATATCCTCATCCACACCAGACACAGAAACATTGCAGATCCCTTCTTTGTGCATAGGAGCCCAAATGATCAATAAATTGATCGTGAGCCCTTAATATATAGAAGAAGAATTGTGTTGAATTTCAATAAAAAAAAATTATCAAGACATCTTACAAATATGAATGAAGGGGTAGGAGTGTAAGTCTGACAATTTAACGTGTTCGAGTAGTAATTTT